AAACATAACCACAGTCAATTTTAGAACATTTTATTCCCTCAAAAAGAAAATGCATGTCATTTAAATTATACCCCTAGCTACTTTCAGCCTGAAGCAACTACTAATCTACTTTCTGTCTCTACAGACTGATACTGAACTATTGGGAAGAAAAAAAGTATTTTGTTATTATTCTTCAATTCAAAAGAATATACACAATACATCTACAAAAAAAGGCTCCATTAAGAGTAATTTTCTCCATAGATCTACATTTTAATCAGCATACTTAGAAAGTATCCTGCTCTTACTGACATCAAATACAACTGCATAATGAAGAAGAGAGGACAGTTTCCAACTGAGTAGATCTGTTACATTCTCAAATGTATATATAAGTCACAGAGAAAAAGGTAAGAACCATTGCTTTACAAAGAAGAGACTGCTTGCAAGAAATCTAAGTTTTCTAAGAGAAAAACAACTTTTCTCAGGAAAATAATAAAATTGATGAAATCACCAACATGGACAGATAATAAACCAAATCAAGCACCCCTCTCCATAGAATACAATATTTGTCAATAAAATATGATTGGGGAAAAAGCTTTCCTCAAAATATTACCGGAAAAAAACATAAAACACCAGTTATAGGACTTAGAAAGTATATAAAATACTTCACAAAAACACATGAAAGCAAATAATTGAGAAAAATACATATATTCCTAGTGAAAAATACCAGATGCTGAAGTTTGTCAACTAACGCCATTTTAATTTCCAGATTCACTAACTAGTAACACTATAATTCAACTAGAGGAGGGGGTGTTGTAAGTGGTGAAAGGGATGTGACAAAGTGATTCTCAAATTAATCTGGAAGAGTAAAAAAAAAAAAAAGCGTAAATGGTTAGCATATACTAAAAAGAGGATTTTAAAGAATGTACATATCCTGTAAGAAACTACACCATACTATACCAATTATAGTAATCAAAACAATGTTGTATTGGTTCAAAGCAGAGAGAAAGAAGGAAAGGAAGGGTGGGAATCATAGAGCCTAGCAACAGAGCTTAGGATTCATAAAATATATCACTTTATGATAAAGGTAGCCTCCAAAATATGTTGGTAAGAAAGAGATGTTATAGACTAAATATTATGCCTCACCCCCACCCACCCAAACTCATATGTTATAGTCCTAGCCACGAGTATAGCTATATCTGGAGATGGAACTTAGAGAGATATTTAAGGTCAAATGAGGAAGGGCCCTGATCTGATGGAATCGGTAATCTTATAAAAGGAGTAGGAGACACTAGTATGCACACTGAGAAAAGGCCATATGAGGACATGCTGAGAACACAGCCATCTGCATATCATGAAGAGTTCTCACTTGAAACCAACCACGCTGGCACTCTGATCTCAGACTTCCAACCTCCAGAACTGTGAGAAAATAAATTTCTGTTGTTTAAGTACCATCTATGACATTTCATTATGGCAATCTGAGCTGAATAAAATAAGAGATTAACACAATAATGTTACTGGAAGTAATGAACCTTTTTTTTTTTTTAAATTAAAGATAGAATCCAAGAAGCACTTGGGTGGCTCAGGTGGGTAAGCACTAACTCTTGGTTTAAGCTCAGGTCATGATTTCAGGGTCATAAGATCAAGCCCCATGGCATGCTCCACGGTCAGCGAGAAGTCTACTTAAGATTCTCTCTCTCTGCCCTTCCCCTCACTCATGTGTGTATGCATGCATTCATTCTCTCTCTCAAATAAATAAAATCTTTTTTTAAAAAAAGAATTCAACCTCACTCCCCATACTAAAACTTTATATATATAAAAGTAACCATACAGAAATACAAGAAATAAATATAGACAAATAATTATATATTCTTTGGAATAAAGAAGACATAAATTTTAAGTTAAAAATCAATATATTTACAAAAAATGTTAAACTTCTGTAAAGCTACGAAAAGCAAAGCAAAGCAAAGCAAAGCTAGAGACACACGAAACTAAGAAAAAATATTTGCAACTTATATATCAGACCAGAGATTAACATTCAGATTAAAGGCTAGCATCCATGTTTTGTTAATATGTAATAAAAATATTTTAAACTATTAAAATATAAAGGCAATGCATATGAACAGGAAACTTTGAGAAGATACACAAATAAATAAAAATGTCTGAAGAGAATTTCAGTATCAGTATTAATCAAAGAAAAACATGTTAAATTAAGATATAATTTCTGAAAGACTAGGAATGACTTTTTTGTTTTTAAACATAATTGTGAAGTAAAAGGGATAGGGAAATGGGCATTCTAAAAGACAATGCTCAGAGGGCTAAATGATACAATATTTTTGCAAAGCAAATTACAATATGCACCCACAGCCTAAGAAATGTACATATCCTTTAACACAGTAATCTCACATCTAAGAATTTATTCTAGATGCATTCAATTATGCAAGAATATTTTTATAAAAATATTCATGGCAGGGATGCCTGGGTAGTTCAGTCAGTTAACTGCCTGCCTTCTGCTCAGGTCATGATCCCAGGGTCCTGGGATCGAGCCCTGCTTTGGATTCCCTGCTCAGTGGAAAGCCTGCTTCTCCTTCTCACTCTGCCTGCTGCTCCCCCTGCTTGTGCTCTCTCTCAAATAAATAAATAAAATTTTAAAATAAAATTTACTGCAATGTTTATAGTAGCTTAAAAAAAGGCCCAAAACCTTTTTTTAAAAGTGGATTATTTTAAATGATACATTCTAACAATGGAATACTATGCAAGTATATATTAAAATTAACACAGATTGATTAGACACTAAGTGAAAAACATAGCTTGTTTCTATTTAAAATACATATTGTATATTGTATTTTTATACACACAAAAAAAGAATCTTTACATTTACATATAAGATAGTTAATAATAAAATGGTAAAAATGTCAGATGAGTCCTAGGTCACATGTAAGTAATGAGGGAAATTTTAAAATAAGATAGATATATATGGGGACACCTGGGTTGCCCAGTCAGTTAAACATCTGCCTCGGGCTCAATTAATGATCTCAGGGTCATGAGACAGAACCCCACATCAGACTCCCTGCTTAGCAGGGACTCTGCTTCTCCCTCTCTCTCTGCCCCTCCCCCCAGCCCCTAGCTCATGTGCTAGCTCTCACACACTCTCTCCCTCAAATAAATAAAACCTTAAAAAAAAAAGATAGATATATAAATAGGCAAACAGTTAACATTTCTAAATACCAAAAATGAAGCCATAAATAAAAATAAAAGGAGAAAAACATTTGCAATGCATTCAATGACATATCCTCTTTGGTTTCAAATTCATATATTAACCAAACTATACCTTACCACCTGGATGGCACAAAGGCAAAGTAATCATAACCAAAGGCAACTGATGACCTCTCCACTCCAAACCATCAAAGGGAAAGAAATCATAAACCTAGGCATTACCTTGATATGCTTTTATCCTTATCTTTTATATCTAATCCATCAGAAAATACAATTAATCTTACCTCCTAAAAATCTCTCCAAATTCATCCACATCTCTCCATATCTACTATCACCCCTTGGTCCAGCTACCATCATCTCTTGCCTGATATTAGACTAGTCTAATTGTTCCACTCACAACCTTTCTTATCCCTCATCCTTAATTTAGCTAGAATGGAAATCTGATCTTCTCACTACAATTTACCCTATCCCCACACTGAACACATATACACTCCATTTAACCCAGGGCTTAAAGCATCAAATAGGTCTTAAATAATATGACATCTATCTACTTTTTTATTTTTACTTCATCCCATGCCTAGTTTTATATATTCCATGTTCTACCCACTCTGAACATTTTTCAATTCCCTAAAAGAGCTACAGTCCCATCAATTACAGATTTTATGCATTGTATGTACTCTGGAACACTTGATGATGAAGAGATAAGAAAGCTGAAGGATCATGGATAACTTAAGTTTCTCACTGGCACAAATAGATGGATAGTAGAGCTGTTTACTGAAATTTCTAAATGCTAAATTATCTTCTATTACTGAGTCCTCACTATCATTCCTTAAAGAGTTCAGATAAAAAAGTAACCCCAAAGCCCTTGTACTACTATTTCTTATACCTACAATTCCCTTTTAATTTAACAGTGACTCTTTGATATTCTGATTCTAAAAATGCCACTTCTGATCAACCAGTCAAAAGTAGGCACCCTGTTGTCTTAATCTATCACTGTTTTAATTGCATTGTATTATCACTATCTGATATGCTTATTTATCTGTTCATTGGGAACCTCCCCAATCAAAATACAACTTTCTGAGATCAAAGACTTCATCCATCTTGTTCACTGTTATATTCCCGTTGTCAACATGACATAATGTGTTCAAGAAATATTGAATAAAATTCAGAGCCAACATTATCTATCTGAAATAAAGTGAGCTATAATCAAAAATTCATGTTTTGATAAAATATACCAAAATTATGGAAACTCGTAATTAAGTAACTTATTGATACGTTGTAAGCTTTTTCTTTTTTTTTTTTTCAAAAAAAATAATAAAACTGTAAACTCCAAACCAGTTTGAACTGGCATTATAGAAAGCAATATAGAGTAATGGCTGAGAATATGGATTCTGGGTGTCTGGATTCAAATCCAAGCTGTACCACTTACTGTGTAACATTAGGCTGGTTACTTCTCTGAGGTTCAGTTCCCCAGACCATAAGGTAAATATAATAATAATATCTACCATATATATATATATATATATATATATATATATATATGAAGTAGACATAACAAGCCTGACATAGAGGATTCCAATAAATGTTAGCTGTTTGGTTTTGTTTGTTTTTTTTAATTGCAGAGAGCATCAAAAAAAGTGAGTTCAGTGTTAGAAAGGATGGCAATTTGAAGTGGCTACTTCCATATGTCTTTGAAAAAGCTCCAAGTATGTGATTCCACATAATACATATTTGATTATTTTAAAGCAGGACAACATTGGCCAGTGTATCAGCAATAAGTGAGAACTTCTCATGGGCTTCTTACATACCGAGTGGGTGCGTAGGGCCGCGATGGTTTTTGAAAGTGCCATTTCCCAGAGTTCATCAATGTAGGCTCTGTTTACTAAGCCCTGGGTTGTATGTAAAATGTGATCTTCAACCACAAAAAAGCTAAGATTGAGGAAAAAAGAAAGCACAGCTGTCAAAAATTACAGTTTGACTACTATCTTCAGAGTCTGACAAACATTAATAGCTGCCATCAAATTCAAAGTTAACAGCTTTTTTTTTTTTTTAAAGAAAGCTACTTGGTGTCTTAAACAAAAATCACATTTCTTGGACTTAGAATTTTGTCTAAACACTTTATAGAAATCAGAGTCACATTTCTATTAAATGTTAATCATACTGGTCAGCAAATTCAAAGGGAAGAAAGTGTTTTCAGGTAAAGGAGGCTAATTGCATTATATTAAAAACACCAGGCCATTAAGACATTAAAAAAAAATTGGTTTTAAGAGAGAATGAAGCTGAAATACACATTTTTGTAAGAGCCCAACGTACAAAATATCAAAATGATTCCCTTTATATGGACCTCCTCATTACAGGACTAAAAAGGTATCGTACAAAGGCCAAAAAAAATGCAAACTTATTTTTTAACACCTTACTATAGCTTTATTGTTGTGCATTTAAAAAGTATCTTCAGCAATCTTGGTTAAGTGTTCATACTAAATAATTCTTTAAATAAGGAATTCTTAAGATATAATCACAACTATCACATTAAAAAAATCTAAATCTGAAATAAAAAAGAGATTTCATGGAACATCCAACTCATTACTCTTTCTTTTAACTGCAAAGTCATTATTTTGCAATGAGAATTAACTGCCTATATTTGAGGTGTTTATTTGGGAAATGCAATTCCATATTAGTTTGTATACTCTAGATGATGGTGGCAAACTATATAGCCCATGGGACGAATCTGGCCCACTGCCTGTTTTTATAAGTATTGTTTTATTGGAACATGGCCACATTCACTCATTTCTGTATTGTCTGTAGCTGCTTTTACACTGCAACAACAGAGCCAAATACTTGTGACAGAAATCGTATGGCCCATGAAGCCTAAAATAGGTTACTATTTGGCCCTTTTAGAAAAAGGTTGCAAACTTTTGCTAATTATTTGGTTCCCTCTTACCAAGAATGGAGAAATAAACAAGTATAATAAAATCACAATTCAGACTTTTTCTCTCTTTATTCATCAAAACTACTCTCCAACAATATAATGCTGAAACCAAAGAAACACTCCTTTAAAATTATTAGAAAATCAAAACTAGACCTTAAGAATTTAAAATAAAAAATGAAAAATAATTTCCCAAGGAAAACTTATTTTTCCAAGTCTCATGAATCCAGGTATCCAAAGTGTATAAATTTAAATACACACACACAAACACACACATATATACCTACCCTACAATTTGATTAAAATACTTCCTGTAGCCATCTAAAGTTTCATGCTACAACAAAACAAAGAAGAAAAAAAGTTATTCTACTTTGATACATTAAGACAAAGTTAAAATCAGTTCCTTAATTTCTTAAGGCTCAGTTCCCAAGACTCGAAGGTGAATATAACAATAGAACACAACCTTACAGGGTTATAATGAGGATGAAATGAGATAATTCACACCCAGTACTTAAAACAATGCCTGACACATAGCAATCAACAGATGTTAGTTGCTATTTTCTTCCTGTCCCATCCACCAAAAATGATCTCAGAGCAACATTTAAAAAAAAAAATAGGGGCACCTGGGTGGCTCAGTTGGTTAAGCATCTGCCTTGGGTTCAGGTCATGATCTCAGGGTCCTGGGATAAAGCCCCCACAGGACTCCCTGCTAAGTGGGGGAATCTGATTCTCCCTCTTCCTCTGTGCTTCCCCCCATCCCGCCCCACTCACTCTCTCTCCCTCAAATAAATAGAAATCTTTTAAATAAACAAATAAATAAATAATAGTACATATGAAAGATAATGAATAGATGCTAGAGAAGAAAAGTGAAAAACTGAGAAAAGTTAAGTTGGTGATCCTACCATGTTAGATGGAGGCTGGAGCACCAAACGGGCCTGTTTTCGCCTCTGTTTTCGGTAGTAGTTCTCAAATGTTTCACGGGCACCCTGTAAAATAAACAAAAGGAAACGAGTTGACACAATTTGATCAATTATTCTAGTATTTCATGGGAAAGGAGAAGCTCCCACATCTAGATTTGAGGCAACCACACATTTCTCAAAATCTGCTATTTTGACAATGATAATAATCACAGAAAAAAATAAAAATGACTATTACCATTTATTGAAACTTACTGACAAATCCCATAAAAATGGATACAAAAGAGTCTTAAAAGGACACTACCAGAACTCAACCACCAGCACACCAAAGCTGGTTGCTGAATCAACTATCACAAATTCACAAGAATGAAGACAAACCAACATTCTCATAAGAGCAGTTGAGAAAATATTCCTTAAAAACCTCACTGAACATTCCAGAAGAAAAATGTTCAGAATGAAAACCAGTCTCAAATGAATCATGAGCAAAGGGCCAGAAGGAGGCAGGAAAAAGGCAGAAGCAGAGAACAGTAAATCAGTCTTCCCAGCTAGTATATAATCAAGTACAGGATTAACACTGAAAAAGAAGAAACAAAGCCCGGAAAACTCTTAGTGCACAGTTTCTTACTTTGAAAGGTGCTCTAGAGAACAAGAGCTGGCTCATGAGTCTATAAATGGGTTGAACAACATCCTCTCAAAATTCATGTCCCTCCTGGGTTGCCATAATGGGACCTTGTTAAGAAATAGTGTCACTCCAGATGTACTTAAGATGCATTCACACTAGAATAGGGTGACCCTTAATCCAATATAAGTGATGTCCTTAAAAGAAAAAGAGAAAAGACACAGAGATAGATACACAGGGAGAACATTCTGAGACAACCCTGGCAGAGATGGAAGCCATGCAGCTGAAGCCAAGGATGCCAAGGACTGCTGGCCACCACCAGAAGCTGGGGAGAGGCAAGGAAGGATGCCACCCAGAGTCTCAGAGAGACAATGGCCTTCTGATGCCTGATTTTGGATTTCTAGTCTCCAAACCTGGGACAGAATAAATTTCTGCTGTGTAAGCCACCCAACCTGTGACACTTTGTTACAGCAGCCCTAGAAACTAATAAAACTTAAAGCTTTTAAAACACAATGCCCTACTATGACTAAATTCTACTCTTAATCCAAGACTTTTCTAAATATATAAAAGTAGAAATGGAGAGACAGCATGTACAGTGGTTAAGAGCACTGATTTTGCGACCAGATGACTATGATTTCATTCAAACTGTGAATCTGCTCCTTTTAGCTGCCTAAGTCACCTGACCAGCTGTATAACTTTTCATTAATTTAGCTTCCACCATTTAACGATTCGGCTTTCACTGACAGATGTGCTATGGTGTTCTCTTCTGTAGACATGTCACCCTCATCATTGTCATGAAGATTCAGATGAGTTATAAAGCTTTTAGAACAGTGTCTGATAAATAATCACCACTGTGCATGTGCTTATTATTTTAAAAACTGAGATGAAATCAATGATGGAAATGAAAGCCCTGCCCATGCAAAAAAGTATAAACTCTACCCAATACCCAAGTTCAGTTTCCTTCATCTTGCGAAAAGTCTAAAGAATCTTATTCAACATGACTCCGTTAGATCCCTAAACCGGAAAAATTGATTTAAATCACAATAACTCCATAGCGTAAGCTCAGGGGTTGGCAAACATTTCCTCTAAAGGGCAGGATAGTAAATATTTTAGGCTTGGTAAGCCATATGGTCTCCGTTGCAACTACTCACCTCTGCTGCTGAAATGCAAAAGCAACCACAGACAGTACATAAATGAGTGTGGCTGTGTTCCAATAAAACGTTTTTGTGGAAACTGAATGATAGAATTTCATATCATTTTCATCATCATGAAATAGTCTTCTTTTTATTTTTTACCAACCACTTAAAAATGTAAAAGCCATTCTGAGTTCACAGGTCACCTAGAAACAAGCAGCAGGGTGGATGTGGTCCATGGTTTGTTGACCCCTGGTGTAGCTTAAAAACAAATTTAAAATGCTAAAGTGATTATAACTGTAGGCACCTGAGTTTTTCCTGCTATAAAATGAAATCAAACATTAAGACAGCTATTTTAAGGCTTTCTTATTTCTTAGTCCATAAGTTAATGAGGTAGCAAATGCTTCTATTTAAGAAATAAGAAGTGGAAACTGCCTGTTTGTTAAAGTTATTCCCCACTTGTCACCATTTCACAGCATCGTGGTATTATTAAATGTCAATTACATTCTGTACACACTGAAGGGCTTTTCATTTTAAATTTAACAGCCCTAAAGGCCCTTTATTATTTTTGTGTGACATTACACATTCAACATGCTTTGGAGCCAAGATACACTTTAGCTGAGAATTTAGGGAAAGTTTTCTCTCAAATTAGACCATTGTATAATAATTTAATAATCTGTTGAAAAAGATAGAAAATATACAAGATGAAATTCTATATAAAAACCTATCATAGACCTCTACTTGGTTCTAAACTAGATATGGTTTTGCCTTTCAAATATCCATTCAATAAACTAAAAACATAAGAAAAGACCAATTTATCTAATAATTCTGGCTTCTCCATTACAAAAATGAGTTAGATTTTCCCTAATGGCTGCTAAATAAATTGACCTCTGAGTATTCTATTTCCTCTGCTAATTTTGTCAACCCAACACTTACAGGTAGAATTTGAAGTAGATGTCTGACCAGTCTGGCTGAGTGCCTATCTTTTCACAAACAGATCAACAGATGAACTATAAAAGTTTGTCACTTGAGTTTCAAGCTCCTCTGATCATTAATATTAATTTTTTAAAACCCACCTCAAAAGCCAGGGGAAGTATAAGCAGATAACAATAGGCCAATGAAAAGTAGTTTTAGTTTGTTTTCATTTTATGCCGTTAGTATTCCTAGTCCAAAGGCTTTGTAATAATCAATCAACACACATAATATCATAGAATGACAAGTCACTTTATATATATATAAAGTGCTAACCATACAATAAAGAATAGTTCCTGTCATCACTGAATTTATAGTCTATGGTGGAAAACCAGCAATTAAATAAACAAATACTACAGAATCTTATAGATTGGAGTGGCTGTGTGTGTGTGTGTGTGTGTGTGTGTGTGTATGTGTGTAGTGAGTGGGAGGAGTGTCAGAGAAACCTTCCCAGAAAAAAAAAAAAGCCATTTATATTCAAAATTAAAGAGTGAGTCAGAATAAGCCATGTAAAAAAGAAAGGGAAAAATATTTCTCATAGAGATACAGAGATTCAAAGAAAAAAAGCATCATGTATCCCATGAACTGAAAGAAGTTCTTCATGGCAGGACCCTCAGAGTGTAAGAGAGAGGAATGACAAGAAATAAAGGCTAGAGGGCTTTGTAAATTTGTTAAGATATTTGGACTTCAACTCTAGAGACAATAAGAGTTTTAGAAAACTGTAAGTTGCAATGTACTGAGTAAAATGAAGAAAGGGAAAATTATATATAAAAAGATCAGTCTAGGGATCCCTGGGTGGCGCAGCGGTTCGGCGCCTGCTTTTGGCCCAGGGCGCAATCCTGGAGACCCGGGATCGAATCCCACGTCGGGCTCCCGGTGCATGGAGCCTGCTTCTCCCTCTGCCTATGTCTCTGCCTCTCTCTCTCTCTCTGTGGGACTATCATAAATAAATAAAAATTAAAAAAAAAAAGATCAGTCTGAACCTGACATATATTTAGGAGGTACAAGCTGATAGCTGATTGGATGATTGGATTTTGGTGATAAAGGACAGAAAAGACAGCAAGCTAACACGAAGCTTCTAACCTGGGTAACTGGTTTGATGGTAGTGTCCTTTAGTCAGTGAGAAAACATAAGGGCAGAGATATATAGTTGATTGTTATTCATGGATTCCATATTTGCAAATGTGCCTACTTGCCAAAATTTGTTTGTAACCTCAAAATCAATACCCATGCTGCTTTCATAGTCATTCATAGTCATAGTCATAGTACAAGAGTGCTGAAAATTTTGAGCTGCACCCAATGCACATATTCCTAGCTAAGGTCAAACAAGGCAACACTCTGTCTCCTTTCTTCAGTTCTCATAACATAAACAATTATCCTTTCCACAGTCATCCAGTGCCACATTCTTTTCTCTCTCTTTTGTGCTTTTTAAAAATTGAGATATAACTGACATATAACATTATATTATTTTCAGGTGTACAACCTAATGATTCAGTATTTACACATATTGCAAAATGATCATCACCATAAGTCTAATTTACACCTATCACCACATACTATTTCTTTCCCTTATGAAAAGAACTTTTAAGATCTACTCTCTTAGAAAATTTCAATTATCCAATAACGTATTATTAGCTACAGTCACCAAGCTGTATATTTTATCCCCAGGATTTACTTATTTTGTAACCAAAAGACTATTCCTTTTCCTCACTTTCACCCAATTCCCCTATCCGTCACTTTTGGCAACCACCAATCTATCTATGAGTTCAGTTGGGTTTTTTGTTTGTTTAGATTCCATATATAGATGAGATCATACAGTATTTATCTGTGTCTGACGTATTTCACTTAGCAGAATGCCCTGAAGGTCCAGCCATGTTGTCACAAATGGCAAGATTTCATTCCTTTTTATAGCTGAATAATACTCCTTTGTATATGCAGATCCCACATGTTCTTTATCCATTCATCCATCAAGGAACATTTAGGCTGTTTCTGTCTTGGCTGTTGTAAATAATGCCACAATGAACATAGGGGTGCACATATCTTTTTCAGTTAGTGTTTTCATTTCCTTCAGATAAAGACCCAGAAATTGCTGGAACATATGGTAGTTCTATTTGTAATTTTTTGAGAAACCTATTTTCCTTAGTGGCTACACCAGTTTACACTCCCATCAACAGACAACAAAGGTTCCACTTTCTCAACAACCTCACCAACACTTGTTAGTTCTTGTCTTTTTGATAACAGTCATCTAACAACTTCGAGGTCATATCTCATTGTGGTTTTGATTTGCATATCCTTGATGATGAGTGATGTTGAGCACCTTTTCATGTACCTTTTGGCCACCTGGAG